CGCAGCAACGGCAACTGCTGCTGTGGCGGCTAACAGCCACTGCAGCAGCAGCAGCAGCAGCAGCAGCAGCAGCAGCAGCAGCAGCAGGATTACCAAGGAAGCAGAACAGGCAAGAAGCCTTTTTCTGCTGAAGCTAAAAGACTCCGCACGCGCTGCTGCACTGCTGCGTCGCTGCAGTAGACCTGCAGATACACCCGAAGAGACAAACGCATGCGCACTGTGCTCTGCTTGCAGCAACAGCTGCAGCAACAGCTGCAGCAACAGCAGCAGCAACAGCAGCTGAACCCGCAAAAGCAGCAGCAGCGGATACAGCAGCAGAAGCAACAAGAGCAGCAACAGCAGAGGCAGCTTCTGCTGCACAGACACTTCTAGTGCAGCAACATCAGCAGCAAAACCACCAACAGAAATGCAGCAGCAGCACCACAAAAGCAGCACAGCAGCAGCACAGCAGCAGCAGCAGCAGCATACCTGTCTCTCAGTGATGTCTACACAGACTTCAACTGTATCATCTTGCGGAGGAGAGGAGGCGAGACAGCCTTCCTTGCTGCTACTTTGGTTTGCTGCAGCATCGGACCCATCTGCTGCTGCTGCTGCTGTTGCTGCTGCTGCTTTTACTATATCTGTTTCTGTTGCTTTATCAAGCGCTCCTGAATCTGCTGCTGTTGCTGCTGCCTTCTCTGACTTAACTCCCACCATGCCCTCATCCGCTGCTGCTGTTGCTGCTGCTGCTGTTGCTGCTGCTGCTGCTGCTGGAGTCTTCTCCGCTGCAGTGCGGAAGACGAGGCACAAGCTGAGGGTTTCTTCATTTGCTGCAGCTGCTTCTCCCAGCGACACCAAATCAGACGCCCCACGCCCTGCTGCCGCTGCTGCTGCTGCTGCTGCTGCTGCCGCTGCTGCTGCTGCTGGCTTGCTTGCATCTGCTGCAAGCTTCTCCTTTTGCCTGATGCATATTCTTACGGGGCCAAACAGTTCTTCTAAGTGCTGCTGCAGCACCTGAACGAGCTGCATCTGCTGCTTCGCGTCTGCCTTTTCGCTGCTGCTGCTGCTGCTGCTGCTGCTGGTGAGTGCTGTAGGCTCGCTGCTGCTTCTGAGTTTAACCCGCAGCAAATCACAAGACAAAAACAAAAGAGAATCCGCAACCAAGTCAGCAGAAGGACTTGATTCCCAACACACTTCAATGCTGCTGCTGCTGCTGCTGCTGCTGTTGCTGCTGCTGTTGCTGCTGCTGCTGCAGGCATCAGTCTCGTCGCTGCACTTTGGGGGCTGCGACTCATCTCCCTTAGCTGTTCTCCGTACAGCCACGCATGCAGCAACAACAAACCCGCAGCTGTTGCAGCACTCTTCAGGTGTATATGCAGCTGTTGAGGGGCTTTTGATGCCGTCGCTGCTGCTGCTGCTGCTGCATATACAGAGTGCAGGTTGCACATCATCGAAGAGTTGTGCTGCTGCATGCATTAAATCAGCAAGAGGTAGAGGGAAGGGGGCTTCAATCTGCTGCTGCAGCGAGCAGCAAGCCACACCAGCCAGAGCTTCTGTCTCTGTTGCTGCCAGCAGCAAAGGGTGCTGTCCCTCTTGCTGCAGCAGCACCAAATCTAATTCTTTTTCGCTTAATCCGCTTACATCTCCCTCTCCTTCTTCATCTTCATCTTCATCCTGCTGCTGCTGCTGCTGCTGCTGCTGGAGGAGACAGCAGCTTGATTCGTTCTTAGTTTGCATTGTTTGGCGTTGCTTATGAAAGAGCTGCTGATGAGTTTCTTCTTGCTGCTGCTGCTGCTCCTCCTCACTCTCCCCGTCCCCGTCCCCCTCCCCCTGCTGCTGCTGCTGCTGCTGCTGCTGCTGCTGCAGGAGTAGTTTACGTGCTGCAGTGCCTTTGAGCAGCACGGGCTTAGTATGATGAAAGTTGAGTGCGACAGTTTGAAGTATTTCAGGTGTAAAGACAGAAAGGGCAGGGTTTTCAAGCATAAGTTTATCTTTTAACTGCATCATTTCTTTTCTTTCGCCGTGCACAAGAACAACATTAGGAGCTCTAAGTCGTTGAATAAACTCTCGCGTCTGATTATAGTCTGAATGAGCAGAAAAAGATATTGTATATACAGCACAAAGCCTACGAACTGTTCGATTTCCTACTGTTATTATTTCTTGTTCGTTACGAACTTCATCTCCTATCGTACCCTTCACAGTATACCCTGTAAATATTATGCTATTTAATCTGCTGCTAGACCAATCGATAAACACTTCTAAAGAAGCTCCTCCTTGTAGCATCCCCGGCGCTGCTAATAATACACAAGGAGAAGAGCCGAAGACATACGCAGATATTTCTGATAATGAACAAACGACGCGAATATATCGCAAGTCAAACGGACGTTCTCCCTGTATATACACCCAAACAACAAAACACACACAACGCAAACTTATTTTATTTGTTTCATTATTCAATTGCTTATTTATTTATTTATTTATTTACTTATTTATTTGTTTAATTTGTTTAATTTGTTTAAATGCAGTGGCTCATACAAATACTTTGCTGCAAATCATTGTCTTGTATTTATCATGTCGATATAAACATATATATATATATATATCTATATATACATTTATATAAACATATATAAATATATATATATATAATATGTACATACTATTTTATAGACATCAGTTGCCTTCTTATTCTGCTCATTACTCTAAATTACACTCCATAGATAAATATATATATATATATATCTATATATATATATATAGATATATAAATATATATAGAGAGAGAGAGGGAGAGAGAGAGATAGATAGATAGATAGATAGATATACAGAGAGACAAACAAACAAACAAAGGGTGAAACAGAAATATATATATATATATATATACATATATTCATATTCATATATATATCTATATATATACATATATATAAAATAAACTAGATTAGCTTAATAATGAGAAGGCTCACTTTGAGTGCTTTTAGTCTGAGTTCTTCGCCGCACAAGTCTAGAAAAGAATCAAAGAGTGCGAAGCTTTTAGCAGCAAGAGGCGACAGAAAGAAGATGGGTATTGCATGCAGCGGTGGATGCTTAGTCCAGAACTCGTTGAGAATTAATAATACTTCATGCGATCGTCCGAGAGCAAAGACAGGAAGCAAGGCTTTTCCGCCTCTATGCAGTGTATCTAATACAGCTTTCAGCAATCTTTGCTCGCGTAAAACCCTTGGCTCATGAAGACGTACACCGTACGTGCTCTCAGTAATAAGTAAATGAATAGAGGTCGGAGGGATGCATGCAATAGGGGTTAATCTGTCTTCTTCTCTGCTATAATCTCCGGTGTATAGGCACCTCATCCCATTCACCTCTACTAAAAACATGCATGCACCAAGCACATGTCCTGCTGGATAGCAGCAAATTCTTGCGCCTTTTATTAATATTTCTTCTTCAAAGTCTATGACTTCAATTCTCTGAAGAGCATATTCAACATCTTCTTCTGTAAACACAGCTGCTGCTCGTTCATCTGCTGCTGCTGCTGCTGCTGCTGCTGTTGCTGTTGCTGTTGTTGTTCCTCCTGTTCCGGCTCCTGCTGCTGCTGCTCCTGCTGCTGCTGCTGCTGCTGCTCCTGCTGCAGCAGCTGAACCCCCTACTCTTGCATAATCTCTCCATAGTAAAGCAGATATAAGCCGAGTCGGAGCTGTCATTAATATACGTCCTTTAAACTCTGTTTTATTTAATAAGTACGGCACAGCCCCGCAGTGATCGAGATGAAAATGCGTTATTAAACAAATGTCCACTGAACCGACTTCCTCCCCGTCTAATAAAGGTAAAGAAGCTAAACCTCTATGAGCTGGATGTACACCGCAATCAAACATGCAGCAAAAATCTTTCGTCTTCATTATTATACAAGACCTCCCGACCTCGCATGCAGAGCCTAATGGAAGTACTTCTAATATATTTTCTTCTTTGTCTCTATCCTCGTTGTAAATCTGTGCTTCATTCTCTCCTGCAACAACCCTACCTACACACCGCGCCGATTCATCGTTGCTGCTGCACACAGCCATTGCTATTAATATATATATATATATGTATATATATATATATATATATGTATATGTATATATATAAATATTTAAATATTCAAATACAACTCGAGCACCAGCACGCCTAATGCTCCTGCTGCTCCTCCTGCTGCTCCTGCTGCTGCAGATGCAGATGTAATGCAGATAATCCTGCTGCGGAGTAGAGTTCACCAGGTCCTGTTGCTGCGGCAGCAGCAGCAGCAGCTGCTGCTGCTGCAGCTGCTGCAGCGGATCTGCAACTGCTGCTGCAGGATCTGGAGCTGCTGCTGTTGCTGCAGCAGGATCTGGAGCTGCTGCTGTTGCTGCAGCAGGATCTGCAGCAGCAGCAGCTGCCGCTGCTGCAAGATCTACAACAGGTTTAGGGAGAGGAGCCGGATAGGAAGCAAAAGGTGCCGCATGCAGCTAGCGAAATGCATGTGGTGTTGAAGCTGTACAAAATATGAAAAGAAGAATAAAACAACGAAATTAAAACAAAATAAATAAAAATAAATAAGATAAATTCCTTTGCCTCGGGGAAATGCTGCTCAACTCTGAAAAGAAGCAGCAGCCGCGTCTATATCGGCGGAGAAGCGAGCGAAGTAAACAGACAAAACAAGAGAAATAAAAGTATAAAATGCATATATAATAATAATAATACAATTAAATTAGTAAATACATTTAAAATTCGAAGAGAAAAACATTAATTTTAAACAAAGTCGAGAGAAATATACACCAAATGAAATTCAAAGCCCCAACAGAAAAAACAGCGGCTTGAGTGGGGTGTACAGACAGCTCGATGCAAACATTTTGAATTTAGAAAATAAAATAATTATTATTTTATTATTTATATATTAATAATAATACGCAGATATATACCGAAGTTTGTTCGCTGTGTAGAGAAAACGTTAAAATAATAATTCATGCGGGAGCTCCTCAGTGTAATCAGAGAATAAATAAATAGCATAATATATAATAAACAAATAAACAAATTAACAAATAAACAAATACACAAATAAAAACACACATAAACCTAATTAATTTAGACAAACAAAGCTCTAAAGAAAGAAGAAAAACAAAGAGGCGGCGACATCTCTAATAAATTTTTTTTTTAAATAAAAAATATACAGCGACATATAAATAAAATTTTCGTCAATTGTTTGCCTCTAAGTTGAGCTTTAAAAGATAAAAGGGAAATAAAAGAAAATATTTTATTTTCTTTTTTCGTCTCTGGTTGTTTCGCTGCCTTCTAAACTTGTTTACTCAAACTGCTGCTGATATTTGCTTGTCTAAATCTCTCTCTCTCTCTCTCCTTCTCTCTCTCTCTCTCTCTCTCTCTCTCTCTCTCTCTCTATTTATTTATTTATTTATTTATTTATTTATTTATTTATTTATTTATTTATTTATTTATTTATTTGTTTATTTATTTATTTATTTATTTATTTGTTCATTTCCATCTTTTTTGTCTTTTTCTTTCTTTCTCTTTTTATAATTTTTTGTTTTTCTCTAACTGCGACTCTGCTGTCGATAGCGTCGCACTTAGCAATAAAAAACAAATAATAATCTATCGTAATTATAAATGTATTAATTATATATATTATATATATGATATGATATAATTATACATTAGCTATTATATATACAACAATATAGTAATTATATATTATAGTGTAGTAATATAATATATATATATATATTATATATATAATGCGTGAAATTAAAGACAAGCTGAACTTAGAAAATGTGTTTAAAAAGCAAAGCGAAATATCCTTCAACAAAAACTGCCGGTGCTTCGTGCTGCAGCAGCTGCGCAGATACCAAGACCAGCAGCAGCAGCAGCAGCAGCAGCAGCAGCAGCAGCAGCAGCAGCAGCAGCAGCATTTGCTGCAGCTGCAACCTGTCAGCCCATTGCATGCACTTTCTTTTTAAGAAGGGGAGATAATTCAAAGTGCGGAAGCGAAGCCTTGCAGTCTAACAGAAGAGAACCTAGCTGCTGCTGTCGCTGCTGCTGCTGCTGCTGCTGCTGCTGCTGCTGCTGCTGGGCTCGAGGCTGAGGTCTAAACACGCCGTTCTGTTCTTTCAAGAAAGCAAAACAATCTGCTAAAGAAGAAAACCCAAGAATGCGCTGTAGTGACGCAATCGAAGCTGTCAGTGAAGCCCTGCATGCATAATATACAAATATATATATATATATGTATATGTATATATATACATATATATACATAGATACATCCAAATACATGTGTATATATACATATATATATACATAAATACGTATAATATATATATATATAATCTTATAAGTCTGATTAAAGTGCAGATACACAGATATTATAAAGAATAAGCAGAGAGAATAAAGTATAAGGAGAGCATAAAATATAATATTAAAACGCAGATACACCTAAATAAACAAAACAAAACAACACATAAAAACCGTTAAAATATAAAAATGAATGAGACAGCGTATAAACTCTCGCGAGAATATCTGACGTTATCTAGCACATACATAAATAAATAAATAAATAAATAAATAAATAAATAAATAATCACCTGCAGATAGTCAGCAGCGCCTGCACTTGCAGCTTTGAATAAAACAGAAGACAGAGCTCTTTAATCGCGAAAGGAGAGACAGGAGACAGTCTGAAAAACCGTAGAAAATTTCCTGACAATAAACTCAAGACCAATGCTAAACTCTGCTGCACTTCTTTTATCTGTCGTTCTTCTGCTGATACTTCTCCTGAACAAATAAACAATCGCATCTAAAGCATTACACTCCTCCTGCTGCTGCTGCTGCTGCTGCTTGTGCTGCTGTTGCTGCAGCTGCTTGTGTGCTGCTGCTGCTTGTGTGCTGCTGTTGGTGCTGCTTGTGTGCTGCTGCTGCTTGTGGTGGTGCTGCTGCTTGTGTGCTGCTGCTGCTGCTTGTGCTGCTGCTGCTGCTTGTGCTGCTGCTGCTGCTGGAGTTCTAAGAAGCGGCTCACTGTAAAGACGAAGGAGCTCAAGACGCATCCCTTGAAGCGCTAAGTACACCAAACGATAACAAAGAAACTCTACCTGAATAAACAAATAAAATAAATAAAATAAAATAAAATAAAATAAAATGAGATAATATATATGCATATATACAGATACATCTAAATAAAGAACTAAATAAGTAAATAAATAAAATAAATATAAACAAACAATAAATATAAACAAACAATATATATAAAGAAACAATAAATATAAACAAACAATATATATAAACAAACAATATATATAAACAAACAATATGTATAAATAAACAATATATATAAATAAACAATATATATATATATATAAACAATAAACATAAACAAACAAAATATATAAATAAACAATATATATAAATAAACAATATATATATATATATGAGCATAGAGAGTTGAGGTGTCTGTGCAGCTGTTTACTCTTTGGGGATGATTTGGCGGTAAGCTGAGCGAAAGATGAAGAT